AAGAAGGAAGTACCATCTGATTTTCTTCTCCTGCTTTTTACACAATACCACTACAAATGATTGAGCTCAGTGGGACTCAGCCCTACAAATGCTTTTGTGAATCAGGACAAAATGGCTGATGTTAATCTCTTTGTTCACCGTGTTTTTTTTTTTTTTTTTTTTTTTTTTTTTTTTTTTTTTTTTTTTTTTTTTTTTGTGATGAGGAAGATTGCCTAACAAAAGAAAGAAGCTTTCTTCTTTAGATAGAAATGGTTGAAATTTCTTTTTTTCTTTAAGAAAAAAAGAAGAGTCTAGTATGATGGCCACCTGGCTTTCAGATGAATCTCTTAATGTTTTTTGATTGTTCAGCTCTTACTGTGTTCTGAAAGCTTTTACTGTAATGTATTCCCAACTTGGTTAAGCCACTTCACTTTCCTGCAAATTTCAGAAGCAGTTAGCATGTGCATCACTGGATTGGTGGTTTTATTTGATTTAATTAGTAAACAAAAGCTAAATGATAAAAAAAATCACAGAATGTATGTCCTAATTTGGTAAGTAAAAAGTAGTTTAGAATCTGATTCTGCCAGCTTTATTAATAGTTGTACAGCACCTGAAATCTGATACTCTTTCCAAAAAAAGTAAAACTTGAGATGAATCAGGGTGACCATTAATGAGGATAAGATGGTTGCAGTGCATGGGAACACTATCCTTTCACACTCTTGACACTAGGGATTGCCACTGTCATTTAGAACACCTGGATCAGCTAATAAAGACAACAAAATGTATGATTGATGCTTTTTCTGTATTTTAAAAGAGATAAGCAGATACCTAAAATAATGTACCTCAAGTACTGTGTTCAGCTTCGGGCCCCTCACTACAAGAAGGACATCGAGGCCCTGGAAGGTGTCCAGAGAAGGACTCTGAAGCTGGTGAAGGGGTTGGAACACAAGTCCTGTGAGGAGCGGCTGAGGGAAATGGGTTTGTTTAGTCTGGAGGAGAGGAGGTTCAGGGGAGGCCTTATTGATCTCTACAACTACCTGAAAGGAAGGTGTGGGAAGCTGGGGGTCAGCCTCTTCTTGCAGATAACTAGTGGTAGGAATAGAGCGAATGGCCTCAAGTTGCGCCAGGGGAGGTTCAGGTTGGAAATGAGGAGACATTTCTTCTCAAAAAGAGTAGTCAGGCATTGGAACGGGTTGCCCAGGGAGCTGGTGGAGTCACCATCCCTGGGGGTGTTCAAGGAAAGGTTGGATGTGGTGCTTAGGGACATGGTTTAGTGGGTGACATTGGTGGTAGGGTGATGGTTGGACCAGATGATCTTGGAGGTCTTTTCCAACCTTAATGATTCTATGATTTCCTCATATACTTGGTAATTAAGGCTTTTAAGATCCCACATTTACTTACACCTCTTCAACACATCACTGGTAGTAACAGCTGGTCCCTTCAGATCATATTAAGGGATCAGGGTATGAAAAACTGCTCTCCAGCACACTTGGTTCATTATAAAGTCCTCTCTTTCCCTGCAGCAATAACAGGACAGATAGGTGGCATATAAATCTCTTCTAGAAAATGCCAGCTCAGGGAAAAGACCATTGTTTGTTAATCAGAGTACCTACTGCAACAGCTCTGACACAGAATCATAACAACAATAACTCCAGCCAGACAGCCTGGAAAATGTACACACTGAGTACTGCACGTCCTTGAAATAATATTTACTGTTTGTTTTTGTTCCTTAGCCAGAAGAGATGCAGACACATTTCTGCTTGTTAGGAGACTGCAAAATCAGACCAACGAGCTACCCATGGGTACGAATTTTATAGCAGGTTCTAAAGGATACAGCTCAGGGCGATTAACATGCCTTTGAATTCACATGAGCTCTCTTCTCTCCACACCTATTATTTGAGGAGCTGCTTTGCCTTGCCGAGCCATGTACAGATGACACACAAGGAGTCTGTAACTTAGGTATCTGCTCTGACAAGCCACTCCACGTGGGCAGATGCCTGACTCCTTGTCCAGCTTTACTGAGACTGAAAAGATCTACACAAGTATTCACATCCATTTGTGCAGGACCAAAATCAGTCATTGTGTATAACTCCTGGAATGACTAATTACAACTCAGAGTGCTGACTTGCTCTGACTCAGTAGTAGGCCAGGAACATGACATGAAGTAAGCTATGTAAGAAGTGATACCTCACCTGTGCTCTGTGCTACAGAATTACCTTTATCTCAAAAAAAATAACAGCTTCCAGTCTGTCCACGGTCCTTCTCTGTGGAAAGGACAGAACAAAGCTTATTTGCAGAAGGTCTGTGCTTTTGGAATTTAAGGGCATAAGAAAACATCAGATCATTTACTCTGATCTCCTTTATATCACAAGCATTTCACCTTTGCAACTTGAACTGAAATCAGTAATTTATCTAAATGAATTAGAATGTGTTTAGCCAAAGGCTACCTTCCAGCAGGGCACTGAGCTTAGAAGTCAAAATATCAAAAAATACAAAATCCAATAATTCTCTTCATACTGCCCCAGTAATTAATCACCGTGGTATTAAACATTGACACCTAGTTTCCCATATGAATTTATTAGGATTCAGAGTTTAACCATACATCCTTTCTCTTCTTAATTTAAAGGTCTTGTAGTTTATATACTTCCCTCCCCCAATAAAAGGCTCTTTTTTGATTAATCAAGTCACCCTACAATGTTCCTTTTGATAATCTAAATAAATGAAAATGTTCAGATTTCTTACTGTATGGCATTTTCTCCAGGTGTCTGATATTGACAGTTTTTTTCATCCTCTTCCATTTTTTCAAAACAACATTTAAAAACGTGAATGCAAGAACTGACTGCAGTATGCTAGTGTCACTCTCACCTATGCTGCACAGAGGCACAAAGTTATCTTTCAGCTTCTAATCACTACTACCTAAGCTTGCAAATTCAAGGATTGTATTAACCCTTTTGATTTTATACTGCAAAAGGAACTTATATTTCATTGATTGTCCTCTACATCCTTTTTAGAGACTCCCCACTTTTGCCAGAGTAAGTTTGCCTTCATTTTCATTGCACAATTTTGTACCTGCTTGTATGAAAATATGCTCCTTTTAATGGCCACAGACTACCAAGAACTCCATGCTTCTCTCATATGTTTGCTCTGTCCCCCTTATTATGCTTCTCTTCCCAAGAAATTTTATTAGTGAATAGTCCCTATTCATGTTCTGATCATTGGTAAAAATGTAAGGAGCCTAAACTCCAACAGATTATTCTGAAAGCAATTGTTCAGCTCTCATTTAAAGCAAGGAACATCTAAATATAAAATACATCTCAGTTTTCAAGCATAAAATATCCCCCCTGTGCCTAAAATTCTAGCATACTGGAGCACTATTGTTTAATTAGAGTAAAAGGCACAAAAAGTAACAGGCATTTTTTTTTGTTTTAATTATTAGGACAGTATAAACCTGTTACCCAGTTTAGCTACTATCCTCAAATTTTGTGTGATAAAAAGTCTTGAAAACAAAGGTGTCATAATGAATCAACCACTAAGCAACATAATAAATATTTTTGTTTTTCTTGGCATGACTGCTGCTATTAAATGATTCATATCAAACAACTCAGTTGATATCTAACCTAAGCATACAAGCAAAGGTTGGTTTAACTGCACACAAAGTACTCAGTCAAATGCAGCATGAGTCTCTGTGGAATTGCTGGACCCATTTTCCATATGCATGCTTTTACTTCCAACAGTACAAAACACTAAATGTCTTCTGTCAGTTAATGACCACTCTCTTTCTGTTAATAGCAGTGAGTGATGAGCCATTCAGCACCTAGGAGATGGCACACAAGAAGAGATCTGCTTTAAGGTGAGTTTAGTATTCAACTAGTAGACAGAACTTGACTGGATGAAGGTCAAGACTTGACTGTCTTGGGAGGTCAAGTTCACAAACACATTTAATGATCATTGGGCTAGAAAAGAAGCCCAAACTTTTAGCATCTTGCTTGGATCTGAAAGGAAGGCGTGGGGAGCTGGGAGGTTGGCCTCTTCTCACAGGTAGCTAGTGATAGGACTAGAGGGAATAGCGTCAAGTTGTGCCAGGGGAAGTTTAGGATGGAAATTAGGAGACATTTCTTCTCAGAAAGAATAGTGTGGTATTGGAAGGGGTTGCCCAGGGAGGTGATGGAGTCACCATCCCTGGGGGTGTTCAAAGAAAGGTTGGACCTGGCACATAGGGACACAGTTTAGTGGGTGACATTGGTGGTAGGGTGATGGTTGGACCAGATGATCTTGGAGCTCTTTTCCAACCTTCATGATTCTATGATGCTATTCTATGATCTGGGTACAACTAAAGAGGCCATGAACTCTGCTAAAAGTTGCCTCTCCAACCCCATTAGATTGCATTCCAGCATGTACTGAGTTCAATTGTGAAAGTCCTCCTTTATCAGTCTTCACATGAACTCTCTTTGGCCTACATACAGCTAATTCTAGGAATCTGAACTTCTTCACAAACAAAGCACTATATCCTTGGGAAATTGACTCTGTTTCTACAGTTAAATCTCTGCCTCAGCTTCCCTGCCCTTTAACTCACCTGTAGCATTAAAATATTTTTAGATATGTTTTTTACAGTGAGTTACTGAGAGTTCATTAAAAGGAGTACATTAAAGTTCTTCTAAGGAAAACTGATCTGTTAGCTCTTAAATCTGAATGCTCTTCAAAGCATTAACTCCCAAGCAAGGCTAATTTTGATAACCACAACAGCTATTTTTTCATCTTGTCATGATAACAGTAAACAAATCTGTTAGATAAAGCTGTCATCTTGTGTAAACTGGCAAAGATGTGCTGGCAAGATAGAGCTTGGCCCCGTCTTCCCTCAATATTAAGTGCATAATGCTTGCTGTGCTCAACTCTGGCCAGCTCTCCACATCGCAAATATTGAATACAATACCTGCATGGTTGCAAGAGCGACTTTGCCGATCACCTTCCATGAGGAGACAACAACGCAAAACACACTTTACTCTGAGAAAAGCTGCACTCACCCGATCTTCTTCTTCTCTGACATCTGGCATGGTGCTGATACAGAGGCTGACTGCAGTGATGGCAACAAAAGAGATTGAAATACAAGCAAAGATCTTTCCTGGGATCCCTGAGTGGGGGTTCTCCACCATATCCCTGAGCTTTCTCATGCACAAACTCAGTCGGCTATTGTCCTGGAAGGCACATTGCGTAGTTTCGCTAAATACCATCTCCCCTTCATACAGCCTGGCCTCAGCTGCCTCCTCCTCTTTCTGTCGCAATCTCTTTTTACAACACCACTCTAGGTGGTCCTCTTCTATTCCCCAGTACACAAGCTCCTCCTGAAAAGAAAGAGCACACATCTCCCTGAGCAGCCTCAGCTTCCCAGCTGTCAGGAAAGTCATGATTGTCCTGAAGGCACAAGGATTACGGTCAAAAAAAAATTCATTGCAGCTAACATCATAGTCATCACAGATGTTCATGATCTCATCATAATTGTTGCAAGATTTTAGCTTCCCAAGCCTGGTCAAGGGGCAGTTCTCCAAGGTGGTCCATGGGATTTTGTATTTAATGCCACCTACATTGATGATCACAAACCTGGTCCGGTCATCCAGGCGGGCTAAGCAGCACAAGTCTTCCCCAGGGTGCAGAAGTTTGGCCTTTTTGTAGAAAAGTCCTTTCTTGGTTTGCACTTCACACAAGCTTTCCAAGTTATTGAAGGAGTAGGAGCTGAACGCAGGATCTGCATTTCCAGTGAGTAATGCCATTTCTTAATACATTTGTGGAGTTCATAGGGAGGTAGAGGCTACTCAAACAAGAGCATCTGGTCCTTGATTGGAGAGTTGGTCTGTGAAACAGAATTTTTAAACAACAACAAAATGAATACTTTGCTAGGTGAAAAACGACCTCATCTCATTAAACTTTTCTCCATGACATTACTTTCCCCCCTATTATGTTATAACCATATTCGCCCTATGCCCACTGGAGAGTAAGAACTTAAACTGCAGTAAGGTTGAAAGCCATGTCCACACTTCTATAGTTTAGTCATTGAATGAATGGAAAAAAAAAAAAAAAAGCATGTTACATTTTCAGCAATCTCTTCTACAGGTTCAAGCTCTATCCTAGATGCCTAGGGAAAGGAAAACAGGGCTTTTAGGTAAATGGGAATTTACATTTTAGCAACTTAAGGAAGGAACTTAGTTGCAAATCTTTTTTGATTATTTTGACCCATCTATTTAAAATACCCATCACAAAAATGCCTGAAGTGTGAGGATAAAATGCATGTCTACGGTACCATCAGAAATGCGATTGCAGTAATGCTGGTAACTGCTATTTTAAATTTGCCAAGTTTAGCTACTAATAGCAATGAATATGCTGGAGCTGAGAATCAAGTTTGCAGCCAGCACCCAAGCCAGTTTGGGTGCTTGAGCACAAAGTCTGTACTACTGAGATTCATTTGCTACTGTTGTCCCATCAAAATGCATTAAAAGCTACACTGGGCATATCTACCAGTAGATAAAAGCAGAAAAGCTGTGCTGTCATGCCTAGGTAACTTCCATACAGTCTAAAGAAATCTCCTGCAGGGAGGTGCACATCCTGACTCTGAGTGGAGGCTGTCAGAGGTGGCAATCTAGAATAGAAATCACTCCAGGAGCCTTGGGAGATTCTGGTGTGGTTAGACTAACTAATAGAGATGGAAAGAATACCCTGCAGCCCAGCAGCAACTCTGAAATGGGAAGCTGAACCTCAGAACAAAGCAGAGCTGGAAGCGACCAGCTCGCTGCTCTTGTTTCTGGGTAATGCAGAATCCAGCTGATCCCAGTTTAATAGAGGTAGGTGTAAGGTAGTGATTGCTCTGCCCTCTTCCTGACAAATGTTCCTGAACAAATAACCAGGGTGAAATCAGATGGATTTTTCCACTGATCTCAAAGGGGTGGCAGAAAGCAAGGGGCTGGGAAATGGATTTTACCTTCATTTTCTAACCAGGCTACAAGACAAAAGGGAAGTTTGCAGCTTTTTAATGTGAGGTGAAAGATTCTTGCTGCAAGAAGTTTTGCTCAGACAGCTAAGTAGGCTAATATGCTGCTGCACTCTGCCTTACCCAATCAAGCATTATGGTAACTCCAGGGTTCAGTTTGTGCTTTCCGCTTACACGTCCTTTACCACATCATCATGCACAGATCTCTTGAACACATTTTTTCACCTGTTATGTTGCTTCCTCACCTTTTCCAGAGTTCTCCACCAAAGTTCTCCATGTCTGTCTCTCCAAAGCAGTATTAGGATGTCTTGAATTGCTACCGTGTAACTACATTAGTGAATCACCCAAAAATTTCCTCAATTGCTTAAATGCAAAGTAGGAAACAAGAAACTGGTGTGAGTGTTGAGACTCCACATGAAAGATTTGGACAGAGAATGGATACAGTGATGGTGAATGATTTTAAGAAGAGAATGTAGAAACCTTGCAAGCTGACAAAGGACAGGAGAAAAAGTTGAAGTATGAAGGATGGTCTAATGTTACTGATGACAAGATGGTAACCATGAGGTTGTAATTCCATAATTTATAAGCAACATCCTTCTAATTCCCTTTGAGTCTCATGTCTCAGTCTGGAGAGGATACTGAACAAGAGAGTGCCAAGAAAAATTAGAGCACATTCCCAGAGATGCATATTCCTTTATCCATAATCAACTCACTATCTCTGAGTTCATTAGACTTAATCAAAACAATCTCCAAAAAGAAGTGGTGAACGTTTGCTACTCAAGGCCATGAGTCACCTGCTAAATACTACCAACCACATCCAACTGAATCATGGCAATTGCAGTGATACTCCCAGTTCTGTGTTTCACATACAGACATAAAATTTTAGAAAGGCATTTATGTTGTATATTTGCAAGAAGTCAGAAAAAGGCTGGTTTACATATAAACAGGGTGCTCAGTCACCAAAAGATACTTTTTGGCACTAAGAAAATTTGAGAAGAGCCAATGATGCCAAAACGTTTCCAGTTTAATTTAGGGCAAAAAAGGTTTTTCAGAGATTTCTTTACACATGCCGACATGAACAACAGACCAAATCTCATCCCTCTCACTAAGGGCCAGTAAAGGGTAAATGATAGCAACATTCACTCTGAGAAACAGGTTATTTCGTATCACAGGCTTGAGTGCAGCTGGGACTCCAAATACCACTACTGTCACAATAAGAGCGCATTGTAAGCATCGTGTATGCCTTAAGAATTTACTTTCTTGTTGCTTTTTGTCAGTAAGATAAAATATTCACTGCTGCTACTCTGGGAACTGTGCTTCTGTTTTCATGCCTTGCTTGTTACACAAGTCAACATTTAAAAAGTAATGTACATTGTTTTGACATCAAGTCCAGGATTTGCTTTTCTCCTCTCCCTCATGTAGCAAGTCGTTGCATAAAGGAATCAGATACATTTCACAGAACTATTTTGAATCTAACCTTATATCTGCTTCCTCCTTCTTCCAAGAAGCAGCTAATTCAATGTGAAAATCTGGAAGTATATTTTTTATTACAAAATCTTGGGCTTACAGATGGTTAGTTTTTTTATGTTGTGAATATAAAATTATGTTGATTAAATGTAAAGCTTAAGGATGTATCTATTCATTTTTATTTTTTGGGATCATCAGTAGATAAATAGAAAGTGATATTAGAAGTAGTTACAGATGTTCCTGCCTTTAGTTTGATAGGCTGATTCTGGACATTAGACTGTTCAGCTCCTAAAGTAAATTTTTTGTCCTCATTCTTTGTAAGACAAACACTCCAGATTCCATAATTCATAACGGTATACATTATTAGTTGGCAGATATTGTTTTGGAAATCTCAGCTAAAAGATAAGCATGTGTATAAAGTTGTATTCTTCTTCTCGGCACCTCTGTGAAGTGGTTGCCCAAGACCAGGGCTGAGATGTCAGTGGAATGGCATGAAAGAGCTTGTTGTGCCACTGTAACTGCCCTACAGAAAAACAAAAGACATTAACGCAGGCTCCCAATCTGAACTCTATACTGAGAAGTAAAATAACCCTAGAAAGTTTGTTTCTGATCTTACATGCATGGAATGTACCATGACCTTCAGTGAATATTAAAGGTTATTACAAAATTATTTCGGTCTTAAAATAGTTTTTGCATGCCTACTGAAAAGCATCCCATTTAAGATTAACTTTAAAAGCCAATAGTTCCAGAAATGATGGTACATTATCATCCATTTGACATTCCTACCATTTGATCAGACACGTAGGTTCAGGAAGGACAAGAAAAAAAACAGAGCCTGCAATACTCTTCCTGTATAGTGACACAGGACAGAATTTGGCTCTGTATTTGTTGTTCATCATTTTAAAATGCTGCAGAAGAAATGCCTTATAAATGCTTCAGTTTGAATGACAGACTGGGATGGCAAGGAGCAAGAGCTGTCCTGCATGTGAGAGGAATGCAGGCAGAGGGAATGCACAGGCTAGCAATGACAATGAGCCTATCAAGAGCTTAGGGGTCAGGGCTGGCGGGCCAGAAGTGGGAATGGGGAACCCAGGAGGAATGTGCAGGAAAATGATTAGGAAAGATGAAGGGCACCTAGAACTGAATCTGATGAGTGTTATGAAGGACAGCTAGAAGGGCTGCAGAAGGTGTGCATCAGCTGCAGAAGGAAGAGGAGAGAAAATGCTGGCCTGTTGCTGAATAGTACAAGGAACCGAGTGACAATGGAAAAGTCCAAGGTATCTATTGCCATCTTTGCTTTGGTCTTTACTGCTAAGAATTGCCTGCAGGAATCCCAAGGCTGTCAAGACCAAAGGTAAAGTATGGAGCAAGGAAAATTTGCCCTTTGTGAAGGAGGATCAGGCTAGGAAACACCTGAACAGACTAGACGTACACATGTCCATGGGACCTGACAGTATGCATGCACAAGTACCAAGCGAGATGATTGATGTCATTCTGAGGCCACCCTTGACAATCTTTCAATCAAGAGACACTTCTGAGGACTGGAAGAAAGCTGATTCTGGTCTTCAAGAAGGGCAAGATGGATCTGGGGAACTACAGGCCAGTCAGCCTCATCTTGATCCCCAGGAATGTGATGGAACAAATAATCCTGGAAAACATTTCTAAAAACACGAAGGAATCACAAGAAGGTGACTAGGAGTCATCAGCAGGGCTTTATGAAGAGGGTAACGTGCCTGACCAACCTGACAGCCTTCTGAGATGATGACAAGCTTGGTGGACTAGGAGAGCAGTGGATACTTTTTATCTTGACTTTAGCAATGACAGAGATGCCTGCTAAGTCTTCAGACAAACTGAGAAAATACAGACTAGATTAAGTGGGCAGCCAGGCGGCCTGAAAACTGTCTGAACTGCTGAGCCCAAAGGGTTCTGATCAATAGCACAAAGTGCAACTGGAGGGCAGTCAATCGTGATGTCCAATACTTTTTAATATCTTCATTAATGACTGCATGATGGGACAGAGCACACACTCAGCAAGTTTGCAGATTATATGAAATCAGGAGGAGCTGTTGATACATCAAATGGTTGTGCTGACATTCAGAGGGACCTGGACGTGCTGGAGAAATACACCAACAGGAACCTCTAGGAGTTCAACAAACGTGAAATGCAAAGTCCTTCCCCTGGGAAAGAATAAGAAAGGATAACCCCATGAACCTGTACAAGCTGGGTGCCAATCAGCTAGAGACTGCAAAAGGGAATGGGGGTCCTGGTGGACTGCCCATTAGAAAGATTGCTGTCAGCAGGTTGAGGGAGGTGAGATACTGGTGCAACACATTTGGGAATGCCACATTCAATTCTGGGCTCCCCAGTAAAAATGAGGCGTGGATGTACTGGTGAAAGTCCAC